AAGCAATTGAAAAAGCTCAGCTTATTAGAGAAAGGTTGAAAATGACTCAAAGTCGACAAAAGTCATATGCCGATGTTAGAAGAAGGGATCTTGAATTTGATGTCCACGATTGGGTTTACTTGAAAATCTCACCAATGAAGGGTGTAATGAGGTTTCATAAGAAAGGGAAGCTTAGTCCCCGGTATGTAGGCCCACATCAAATTTTGAGAAGTATTGGTAAGGTTGCTTATGAGTTGGACTTGCCAAATGAGTTGGCATCGGTGCATCCGGTTTTCCATGTCTCTATGCTTAAGAAGTTAGAGATCTGACATCTATAATTCCCCTATAAGGGTTGGGAGTTGATGAAAGTCTCTCTTATGAGGAAGTTTCGGTTGAGATTTTGGACCTACAAGTTAAGGGGTTAAGGAATAAAGAAGTTTCTTCCGTAAAAGTATTGTGGAGGAATCATTTAGTTGAGGGTGCTACTTGGGAGGCCGAGGTCGATATGATGTCCCGATATCCTCATCTCTTTCCTTCCACTCCTACTCTAGCTTGAGGTAATGAGTTCCTCTTGTTTTGTTCTATGTTTTGGAGTCATGTATATTTTATGTTTCCCATGATCTCCTTAAGTTATGCACGTTCATGAAAGCTTATGTTTTGAAAGAAAATGAATTATGTTGTTGATTTTCCTCATGTTGTTGTGCATTAAGTATAAGTTGCTTATACGTTTCATGAGATGAATTGTTGAACATGATTTAGTTATGCTTTTTGAGAGCAAGTGGCATATTGGCTCCATGAGATTGTGTTGAGCATGCTTTTGAGCTTGGAGAAGGTAGTTCCTCCTAGAACATGAGAAATGTTGAAATGTCTCATGCATAATGGGTTGTTAGATGTTGTTCCTACTTCCTTTTTGATGCATTTGAGTATGATGAGTTTGGAGTTGATATTTTCTCCTTATTTATGTGAATTGCATGCATAATGGGCTGATATAGTTAGTTCACCCCTCTTATGATGTTTTGAGAATGTCCTAGTTTGGAGTCGATAGTTCCTCCTTGGTTGTATGCATTGCATCGTAGGTTAGGTTGTTAGTTCCTCTCCTACTCTTTTAGAACCAGTTTAGATCTCATTCGAGGACGAATGGCCCCAAGGAAGAGATATTGTAACCCCGTATCCGAAAAAGGGAAATGAACCAGATTTTGGAAAGTTGCAGGTGCCAGCCACGGAGGTCAACCACGGCTCATGGGTTGAACCATGGACCGTAGGTAGGTCCATGGGTTGGTCACCCTGCCAAGGATGCTAAGGTCAAGGACCACGACCAGACCTATGGACTGTAAGTCAGACCATTGTCTGTGGTCGGGGTCCGTGGTTCGAGACCCCAAGATCCACCTTTTTTACCATGAACCACGGTTCACCAGGACGGACCGTAGGTCAGACCACGGTCCGTTGACTAGGTTTGTCGGTGGTCAGTTGGCAGTTATTTTTAGGGGCAATGGGGTCTTTTTCTAATTAATTAATTCCAACACTATGTCGTTTTACCTATATTTAGAACCTCTATATAAGTCTTTTTTGCCCCAAATGCATCCCCTTTAATTCATTCTTCCAAATTCCCAAAATAAAACCAACTTCTCTCAAATATTCTCTCTCTAGAACTTGAAGAAGAAGAAGAAGATTTCACCTGATCCAAATTCTCCAATGAAGATAGGAAATTGGACTTGAGGTATGATAACTTTCATCCATGGACACCTTCCATCCATGGAGTTCCTTCAAAATTCAAGTTCAAAAGAAAGATAAAAAACCCCATTGTTAGGGTTTGATTCAAAAGTCACGGGTTCCTTTCAAAATTGATTCTAATGGTTGAATTATGTTATTATAAGCAAGAATTTATGATTTCCTATGGTTTTTATGATGTATCCCCTAAAACCCATGAAATTCTCATATTTCTCAATTGTGATCTTATAATGTGGGTCTTTGTTGATGAAAGAGGAATTTTATGAATTGATGCATGAAGTGGTGGAATCATATGAATTATAATGAAATCCATGTCTAATGCTTGATCTTTAGATGTGATGATTAAAAGTAGGTTTTGAACCTTAAAAGGGCAAAGTATGAGATTATGCATGTTTTTATGAAATCTAAGTAAATGCTTTAAGGACAGTTGGAGAATAAAGTGTCAATGATTATGATAATGTTGTCGTGTTGATTGAAAGGACATTCTCATGAACACATAATGAACATGATGGGAAAGGTTTTCTCACATAATGAAGATTCTAAGGTTGAAAGGATTTCTCACCTAATTGAATGTAAGATTTACATGGATAGTGTAAGGTTTTCTCACGCATGATCTAATGAGCTATCCTAATGAACTAACTTGGATTGGTTGTCAAGGACATCCTTTTATGAGACATGAGTTAAGTAAGACTTAATAAGTACTCCGTGGGATTTATGCTTAGCACCAAGTGGACATTGAAATAAGATGGAAGCCTTTACGTCAGTTGAGTCCGGGCTTGCATGTATGTCTCATGAGATGGAAACCATTTACGTTAGTTGAGTCCGGGTTTTAGTAGAAATCTCTGTATCTCATCACTATGTGCCCCCATAGGTTATCTAGCTAGTGGTTCCACCTAAGCTAAGAGTTCATGGTTCTACCTTAGGCAAGTAGGACAACCCTTTCCGGTGTGGGTAACACCAGGTGATCATGTTATAGCTCAAATGGTCTCATGTCGATTAAGGCTTATTCCCACAATAATATTAATGATGAACTAAGACATGCTTAATGAAGTATCTCGTAAGTGTTCAAAGATGTTAAAGATGATGCTAGTTTGTATTGAATATGATGATTATGGCTTATGTTTTCCAACTATATCTATAATGATGTTTAAACTTGACAAATTGCATGCTATGAAATGAAATGTCCCTTTGTGCATGTTTTAAATGTTTTTAAGCTTAGTTATCATACTTGGTGCATTTTTGTACTAACACATACTTTTGCCTACATTGTTTCCAAATGTAGGGTCCGACAGTCAGGGTCAGTTTCGTGGCTAAGTGTTGATCTTGAGATTTCGAGCTTTGGTGAGTCCTCATGCTTCGAGGACGGAGTTTCATTGTTTAGTTCCTTTCTTTCATGTATTGCTACTTTTGAACATGATGTATGGGCTAGGCCTAATTTCATTCGATATTGTAATAGATGGCTATGATTAGACAAGTCTCTAGACTTCCACTTTCGTTTATGAAAAACATTTTAGACTTGAAATGTGTTTTACTCTTATTATTCTTTCTTATGTTATGAGGACTAAGTAGCTTGTATGGAGTCCTTTGGGGTTCTATACGCCATGTTACATCTAGAGGTACCCCTGGGTCGTGACAACAATAATGGAAAATGACTGATTTTCAGGATTGATCTTAATTAAAAGACCAATTGAATGAACTTTGCGAATGCAAGACCTAGTGTACAAATACGAAAGGTCGGGCGCCAAAAACTCCGCGAATGCGGCACTGAGCCCACAAGTGCGAAGGGCCAGCTACCTTGACCTTCAGGAATACGATGTAAGGCCCACGAACGTGATGACCAAGCTCCCCGAGTCTCTGCGAATGCGGCACCAGGCTCATGAACGCAAAGATTAATATCATTGACCACCCCGAATGCGGTCTGAGGCACACAAACACAGAATAAATGGAGGTGCACCAACTTATGCAACCCATGTTGATTTACAAGCCTTAAAATCTTTGACAAGGTGCTCGAGATTTTTTCGGAACCCCATGCAAGCAAATGAAATATGCTACCCTACCAAATTCTACATTCCAGACTCAACGGAGATGTGAAAACTTTCAACCGTGGTCGTCTCGACAAATTTTTAAACCCAAACTTCATTATAAGCTCGAGATGAGCCCAGAAGCCTTGGGATTCGCACCGAAGGTCCTTCTATACCAAATCGACATTTTTGTGTTAACAAAATCGTCAAAATTACATTTTGAGGTGGTTACCTAAAGTTTATACCGAAGTCAACCGTTCAAGATTCAAAATCTCCAAAACGTGAAAACTTGCACAAAAACTAAAAGAACGACCAGGTGATCGAGCCATCAATCCAGCAAGTCATAAATGACTTGGAGTTGTTAGATGAACACTCTAAATGCTGAAAGGAATGCAATAAAGAGGAAATGACATGGAGGGTCATTAAGTCAATAATAAGTTTAATGACATAGAGGGTCATTAAATTAATAATAATTCACTTCGGACAACAATAGTGGGGGGGGGAATAATTACCTGTAAAGTTGTAGTGCTAAAGTAAGTTTCGTGGAGAAGTTCAGGAGGATTTTATGTATTTACTCTTAGTTCCTTGATATTGCCACCCATTAGCAGTCTTATTCTCCCGATATACTGTACCATGTCATATACACCTCATATAACCATGCTATGCCATATTATGTATATTATGCAAGAAAAAAAAGAGGGCCTCACACCCACAACTATCTAATACCTCTAACCAAACACCAGATAATATCCTAAGATTATTATATCTCATACCTCACACCAATGACTCCTAAGTGTATAAAAGTCATTTAATATTTAAAGGTTATTTTTGTCAATCAACATTTATATTCATATTTGAATATATATAATATATATATATATATATATATATATATATATATATATATATATATATAGTTATATTTTTATTTTTATTTATATATAAGATAGATGAACGTAATATTTGGCTTAAATAAATTACTTATATGGTGTGATTATTTCTTTTTTTTTAAAAAACAAAATAACATAGGGAGGATGTATTTGAGAACAATGTCCAAACAAGGTGTTGAGAAATTGGGCATTTTCCGTTTTAAAAAAGAAAAACTGATGAAACGATGGACGGCGAAGGCACCTAGTGTGAGCCGGCCGGCGTGCAAAAGTTGGGGTGGATAGAAGCGTGGGAGAGTCGTGGGGGGCGTAGGTTAAGGAAAAGGTGCTATATTACGCCCAGTGGCCCTTATAATATAACCTAGAAGAGATAGAGAGGAGTGGAAGGAATTAGGTTTTTGAATTTTGTGGAACTGTGATGGATGATATACCTGAATGGCTTAAAGGGTTGCCCCTCGCACCTGAATTTCGACCTACTGATACTGAATTTGCTGACCCCATTGCCTATATATCAAAAATTGAGAAGGAAGCTAGTGCTTTTGGTATATGTAAGGTCATTCCGCCATTGCCTAAACCTTCAAAGAAGTATGTCCTTCATAACTTGAACAACTCTCTATCAAAGTGCCCTGACCTCAATTCTGCTGGTGCCCCTGTTTTTACCACCCGACATCAGGAATTGGGTCATACTGAAAAGAAGAAATTCCCATTTGGAGCTCAGAAGCAAGTCTGGCAAAGTGGACAACTTTATACACTAGACCAGTTCGAAACCAAGTCCAAGAACTTTGCCAGGACTCAATTCGGCATCGTTAAGGACATTTCTCCCTTCCTTGTCGAGGCAATGTTTTGGAAAACTGCTTTTGACCACCCTATCTACGTCGAGTATGCAAATGATGTGCCTGGTTCTGCCTTTGGGGAGCCAGAGGAGAATTTTTGCAGGACAAAAAGACCACGTAACAGGAAAATTCTTGATAGAAGAAGTTCGAGTACTAGTGTGGACAAAGGTCGGTCTCATCATAGTGTAGAGACACCATCCTCTACTTTGTTAACCCCTTTATCAAACTCATCTCCTTTTAGGCCAAAAGGTTGTAGTAATGCTGCTGAAATGGAAGGTAGTGCTGGTTGGAAGCTTGCAAACAGTCCTTGGAATTTGCAAGTAATTGCGCGGTCGCCTGGCTCACTCACTCGCTTCATGCCAGATGATATCCCTGGTGTTACTTCTCCAATGGTCTATATAGGGATGCTGTTTAGCTGGTTTGCTTGGCATGTTGAGGATCATGAGCTTCACAGTCTAAATTTTCTTCATACAGGATCCCCTAAGACTTGGTATGCAGTGCCAGGAGATTATGCATTTAGTTTTGAAGAAGTCATTCGTTGTCATGCTTATGGAGAAACTACTGATCGATTAGGTATGAATACATACTTTTTTGTCAACAACAATGTGATGAAATTTACAAAAGAAAAAAAAAGAATGAAAGGCGTATTTTATTTTTTCCACGACATCTTCTTTAGCTTCATGAAATGTTCTAACTCTTATTTTTTATCATCTTACAAAAGACGGAAAGAACTAGTGCTCTTTGGCAGTTATTTCATAATTGGTAATCATCAGGTTGTGCTGATACTTTTCTTTTACCTAATAATTGTCCTTTGTCCATTACTCTATTGCTATTGCCAATGGAAAGAAATCGTGAAATGTATGGTGGATAGTCACAGTATTATGCCCATTGCTCTCAGAATTGGATATTTTTAAGCCATGAAAGCTTGTTCTCTGCCGCATTGCACTTCTTTCAGGGATAAGCCTTCGAGATGTTTTTTTTTTAAATGGTTGATAACTTCATTTACAAATAACTTAGCGTTTAGCTTCCAAACCCCATGCGATTAGCTAGAGAAGTAGTTATATCCTGTTTATTATGAAGAAACAACAAATAGTAGGAAGGTATTCAGAATTAGGACATATTTCTTCCAATCAGTTTTTTTGTTTTGTTGTTGGTTTTAAATGATGTTTGACATCCAGTAGAGTGTCTCTCCCATCTTTAAGAATACCTCCCGTCTATGTTCATTGACTGAGAAAATTCCAGTCAGCAGCTCCTTAACACCATCACTAATTGTTGAGTATCTTGTCAATTTTAGGTGTATGAGTTGTTTTTCACTACCATATCATCCCTTATTTAGTGCAATTGGAGAAAACCTTGTTGAGTTGTTTCCTTTCTTTTCTTTCGTAGCTTGACATGTCTCTTCTATTTTTCTCCCTTCTTCGGAAACTATGATACTAGAAACTTAATTTAGGATATGATCCTACAAATCAACTTACACTAGTATTTAACTCAAAGCTATTCTGATTGCTACTTGAAATACTTGTTAATTTATTAAATTAAAATAAATTTGGGTCATAAAGCTTTGAAATTCCCAAGTGGAAAAGCCAAAGCCACTTATACTGAACAACATGCCATATACCTGACTTTTGGGCATTCCTTCTTTTAAGGATTTTTAAAGATCCCTTTTAAAAGTTGTGTTTCCCCTTAGGTGAACTACTTAAACTAACATAAGAAAAACTTTGATTTCCGCGAAAAACCAAACAAGTTAACCTATCCAAAGAAAAAACTACTCAACTAATCATCAAGGAACCAATTAGCACTTAATGAGACTTTTCCCAAATCAATAGTAGTAATTAGGTGGAAAAGGTGATATTCACATGTAGGCTATGGTGTAAACTGTAGAATATTGGAGTCAAATGGTTGATGCTTGAATCTGACGGTGACATGCTATTGGGTGCAAAGTAAGAGCTGAGAAGAGGAACATAGATAGTGGTTTTGATACTCACTTGGACAATATGAAGTAAGAAGAGCATTCTAAAGAGTTGAAACTCTCTTTGTTAAATTAGTGGGACTTCCTATTTTTTATACTTTGGGAGTAAGTAGGATAATTCAGTCAGTATAGACGACAAAATGATCTTTGTAAAGAATGATGTATTTATTTGACATTTTGTACTTACATATAGTGTACATTTTGAATGTGAAATTTCCCTTACTGCATCAATATAATGTTTGTTTCTCATTGGAGCAAAGGGGTAGCAGATTTTGAGGTGGTTTAATGTTCAGTGTAAAGATTGTCCAAGTTATTATAAAGATTCAAAATACTGATTATTTGGTGGAATGGATACAAAGGATTCATATAAAAGATGTCTCCTACTGGTTTTAGGTTAGTTGATGACAATGAGGTAAATATAGATGCAGAAATGTAAGCTATTTTAAAATCCTATGTAATATCTGTGTTCAAAAGTTAAAAGCACAAAAAAGGCTCTACAATCAGCTGGGGTTTTAAGCGCAAAGCACAAATAAAACATGAGCTTAAATGAAAAAAGTCACAACAGATAGGAAGTATACAAATATATATGTTTAGTTCAAGGATAATAACTATAAATATGAATAACAAATATATGGAAAAAAAATTGTATTTTTTAAGGATAAAGTGAAATATCAATTGTTTAGTGTCGCCTTTTCAGGAAACACTCGTCTCTTTCACACGGAAAAGTTTGTCTTAGAGCCTTGCTGAAGCACTCATTAAGCGCGGTAAATTGCTCAACATGTCTTGAGCCTCACTTCAGGGCTTAAGCGCACCTTTGACAACACTGTGTAATATGTGATAAGGTATTCTATTTTAGGAAAATGAATAATGACTTAGTGTGGCTCTAAATAGGAAGCTGAAAGCATGACATTTTGTTTGAGCCGAGGCAAGAAGATAATGGGCATCCGAAGAATCCAATTGTGTGTTTCCCTTTTAATTGCCTCAAGAGCTTCTTGCCATAAGCTTTTCGTTTTGGCTGCAATCCAATTGTGCTCAATCTTCTACTCTTTTGTAAATTCATAAAAAATGGAATTTTGCTTTTTGGTTTTCTTTTCTTTGATATTTCCTTTTACTGGTTCTCCTATCTGGGAGTCCAAATACCACCAAACTTTTTCCTCTAGTTTGTTGTCTCTGTATATTCACATCTTATTGATAAGGCAGGAAGACTTTGTTGTAAGATTATATACCTCCAACCATGAAATTGGATGTCTGGGTGAACAAGGGAGCTAAGTGTGAAGATGTTACTTTTGGGTTCTTGCGTAGTAGGTGGACCTTTTACCATATCAATTAAGAAAATTACCTCTCATGTTTTGTAAATTGGAGTAACCATTCCATCAGGGAGAAGCAAAAGTCATATTGCCTTGAATGATATACAATTACATCTTGCACTTATTGCTTAAAACATTTTATATCACTTTTTGGCAGTGGTGTTCAATTTGTATATGTTTAGGGGTGGTATGCTGGCAGTTATGAGATATGATCCATGGTAGGAAGTTTACATGCATTTGCAGTCTAACTATCTCTTCATAAGTTAGAAAGTAAATATTCTAATGAAGAGTATGAATTTCTTGTGTGGTCTGTGGAAAGAAATATGATCTGCTTCATTATGGGGTTTTGGAACCTGTCTTCACTAAGTGAACGGTTGAACCTAAAACCAAAACACCGATTGAAAAATCAGAAGTGTAAATAATGACCCTTGCATGATCTGTATTTATCCCTCTTGTTAAAATATCAGCAATTCTTTGTTTGAGTTGGATGTATTCCCCCTCCTTATTTTTAAAGATTCCCTTTATCAATGGGGTGATGAAAATTTCAGATTTCTCTCAAAAAACGAAGTCTGTTTAATTTGATCTATTTCTTGGAAGTGCCTTCAGAAGTGATCATGTTGTTGAGTTAAACAATTTCCATAGGCCTGCTCAATTTTCACTTATCAATGTAGATCTTTGGCTTCAGTCATCTGGCAACTCGCTTATTGACTCTTAAATGGAGATATTTTGGAGTTTTGCTCTGAAATATTTCTTGTTCTCCGATTCAATAAATATAATATTTGATCTCCAGCTGCTCTTGCGCTATTGGGCGAGAAGACCACTCTTTTATCACCTGAAGTTCTGGTAGCATCAGGCATCCCCTGCTGCAGGTGGTTTCTGTTTGTCTGATCCCATTTAACTTTGTTTTTCTCTTGGTTATTTCCTGATACTAAAATGGAGGTTTCCTTTGCCGTTCCTAACTTATCAAATTTTTTGCAGTCATTCTAATGTATGTGCTCTTTTTAATTTGCTTAGGTTGGTACAGAATCCTGGTGAATTTGTTGTAACTTTCCCAAGGGCCTACCATGTAGGTTTCAGCCAAGGTAATTGCTTCTGATCTTCTATTAAAGATGTTGTTATTGTGATGAACTTCAACAATTAATGCAGATATAGCTTCTTTTTATTTTATTTTATTGTCATCTTTCTCCGTGATAAGTTGACTAAGTTTTTTCCCCCTTTTGTCTCGGATATGAATATATATATGTTTCTTTCTGTTTTGACATTTAAGTTTTTCCTTCTACTCCACATCAGAGATCTTCAATCCATCATTAGCAGCTTTCTCTATCTATAAATGATGCGGAAACAGAAATCTTCTTAGGCTTAAGAACATACGGTTCTCTATGGAGGTCCTAAGGTGATGGTGAGGGGCTGAGGGCCCAATGATATGAGCTATTCACGGGAGGGTGATCCTAGTCTTAGACTGGTGAAGGAGCTAAGACCGTTGAATGATGATATAAAGATTTTGAAGTGAGTGGTAGTTGGTAAACAAAACAAATAAAATCGTCTCTCTTCAAGGTACTAGTTGCATTGCAGAAGAAAGAAGATAAGCATGATCCCGATGAAGAAGGTGTGTCACGACCCAAACTACCCCCTAGACGTGACATGACAAATAGGACACCGAGAGGCCCTAAACAATCCACTTGACATGAATATGACAATGAATCACAATAACACTATGAAATGAGTCATAAGCTAAAGGAAGTCTAAATCATAATATCTCAACCTAGGAGAATCTGAAAACAAGATTGAAATAATGCGGAAAACATAACAAGTCTGACATAAGCCTCAAGTATCCATAATGTGGTTAGGACAAATACCTAAACCACGAACAACATTTGAAAACTGAAATGACATAAGGAAAGGAAATGATAAAGTGTGATCTCGTCCTCGAACCATGAGGACTCACCACTAGCAACCAAAGCTGAGCAAACCAATCCAGCCACGGCCAGATGGAGGAATGTCAAACCTTATATTATGAAACAATATAAGCACAAGAGAATATGCGTCAATACTTTGAATGTATTGAGTAAAAGGAAGATGCATAAAACATAAACGTGATAATGTGAATAGTTCAAAACATGCTAATGCATGACTAAGCAAAACAAGTCAAAGCTTAATAAACTAAATCATAAATCATGGGACAAGATCAATGCAACATTTGAAAATCATGTGGAAACTTAATCATAATCATTGAGGAAGTCATAAAACCTTTGGAGAAAAGCATAGTTCTTTGTGGGATGTTTACCATTAACCAACATAGATCATGTGAGCTATAACATGGAATCCAGTGTCTTTCCCACACCGAAAAGAGATGTCCTACTTTGCCAAGCTAAGGACCATAAACTTCTAGCTTAGATGGATCCACTAGCTAATGTCTTTCTAAGACAAGTCCTACGGGGGCACGTAGTTATGAGACAAAGAAATTGTTACTAGAGACTCGACCTCTACTAACGGAAAAGCCTCTATCTCAAAGTCCTCTCGGTGATAAGTAAAATCCAAATGGAAAATAGGCATAATCATATCATAGTCATAATATTGGGAGATCCAAAGACTAGTAGATTTCTTTGGAATCCTTGAACAATTCAAAGGAACCTCTACCTCCCAAGATGGATTGTTTTGGAATCATAACTGCAACGGAAATTTTAGTGTGAAGGAAGCTCACAAAAAGTTCAACTCTTTCACCCATCAGGTTACTGGCTGGCCATGGAAACTTATCTGGAAAGTTAAAATACCTCCTAAAGTGTCCTGCTTCACTTGGCTACTAGCAAAGTAGGCTGTTTTGACTCATGAGAACCTCATGAAAAGGGGTATCCAACTGAGTCCTAGGTGTTTCCTGTGTGGAGAAGAGGCTGAAACAGTCAATCACCTCTTTCTTCACTGTAGGATCACTAATATTTTGTGGAGCATTTTCATCAATTCGAAGGGCCTACTTTGGGTGATGCCAAGATATATTGTCCAGGCCCTGAAGATATGGAGTAGCTTTGCCTACATTTCTGGTCATAAAGAAAGATGGAAGATCATCCCCACCTGTATTTGGTGGTCTGTGTGGAAAGAGAGGAACCTCAGATGCTTCCAGAACAAAAGTAACAGCATCCAGAAGATGAAGATGAAGATGAATTGCTTGGTTTTATTTCATTTTTGGTGTAAATAGGAGTATATGGAAGATCTAGAATCAGTAATGAATGCTTTAGGCACCTTGTAATTTTTGTTATTTAGGATTGAAGATCTTCCTGATACTCTCCTTTTATTTGTAATTAGTAAACCTCAGTTTGATTTTTTGGAATATAATACGAGACTGTTACCTTCTCAAAAAAAATATTTGGAAAGGTAAAATCTAGTTATACGAATCCAATCATAAGCTTAATATCATAGAATAGCTCCTTTCAAAACAATGATTTCATAACTTGTTCATGAAGACACTTATCTAAGCATTTAAATCATGATCATCTTTCATAATGAGAATACTTCAATTAGGAAGCAACCTTTCATAAAACATTTGATACTTCATCTAAAAACATCCTCTATTGATGAACTCCTCAATTTCATGATGCATGCATAATTTTATAATGGCTTAAGTCATACACAGCCCCTTAAAGTTGTCTGCATATTTCACTTGAACACCTCAACCAAGTCTTGTACCTATTGAACACCTCTAGAACTTAGGATTGACACCTATTTGACATTTTTTTGACAGTCAGCCAAAAATATTAAGTGTGTGAGACACACTCGCTATGACATGACACTATGACAAATTAAGTTATGACATGTGTCAGTGGGATCCAAAAAATTGTTAAAAAATATAAATCAATGAGTGAAAAAAATATTTTAAATAATAAAAAATAAAATTAATTTTTTGTAATCCCTACACAATTCCCCCACCCACCAAACCTTTTCCCTGCAACCCATAAGAATCAGCCCCCCACCGTCTCTTTCTCTTTTTGTTTTCTGTTCTTCTTTATCATAGATTAACAATGGCAAATAGATTCAATTTTTTTTTTTAATAGTTACCATTGTTACTAAACCCACCCAAATTCTTCCCTACTACCTATCAGAACACTACTTTCCTTTTTTTTTTTTTTCTAATCTTCTAAATCAACAATGACAAATATATATTCAATGGTGATAGAGGATGTGAATAAGTGACTGTAGAAATAATAATAATAAGAAGAAAAGGGATATAGCGTTGAAGAAAAAAAAACACGAAAGTGTCTATGTAAATGGTAGAGGTGATGGTAGTTGTTGCTTAATAGAAGAGGAAGAAATGGATGTATTGGCTGCCATAATAACAAATCTGAAAAAATAATATGATAATGATGGTAAAGGAAAAGCAAAAAACGAGGAAGAAGAAGAAGGGTGTTTATGGCAACAATGGCGGATGCGAGTGCTAAGGTGGAGAAGTGATGGCAACAAGTCCAATGAAGAAGAAGGAGGTTTTTAAGTTCAAAAAATGTCTAATTTAATTCTTTCACGCGCTTGTTATTCGTGAATTACACCCAAAATGCCACGTAAGTAAAAAATGCTCAACTGGTATCAATTCGAAGTACTAGAGGTGTTCAATAGGTACAAGTCTTAGTTGAGCTGTTCAAGTGAAATATGTGGACAACTCTAAGGGGCTGTGTATGACTTAAGCCTTTTATAATCATAGTTCATAATCATAGCATAGACATATAGCATAGGTTCATATGAAATTCATAAGAAAACATGTAATTGAATCAAACCATGCATAATAAGATCAAATATATATAATGAATCATAATTAATTGAACTCATGGAGAATCACATGAAACCCTAGAAAATTGGGTAGAATTCTAAAGAGAGTTTATTTTGGGACTCAATAGATGAAAAGGATCCATGGATGATGTTCCCACATACCTTGGGTAATCAAAGCCCTAGAGATTGAAGAAGAAACCTTGAAGAAACCTAGCTTCCTAGCTTTTCCTTGAGAGCCTTGAGAGAGAATTGGAGAAGATGAACTTAGGGAATTTAGGGATTTTGAGTGAATGGAAGGGAATAGGTAGATTTTGAAGAGTAAAATCAGTTTTAAGACTTAGTTATAGGATCAAAACAACATTAGTAAAGATGTAGAAAGGATAGTAAAGGACCCAAATGACCCTGACTTAAAACTACCGGAGGGACTCTACGAATCGACTTATGGTTCATAAAATCTTCTACGAACCGTCCTGGTCGTCCTTAGATGGAGTTACTGGAGACCAATTGGTGATCAACTTCCACAAGACCCTTCCTATGGATTGTGGAACTTTCTACGGCCCATAGGCCCTCTTCATAGAACCCCATGACCAAAAATCCTTCAAGTCCAAAATACTTCCCACGAGTCTAATCTACGGCTTGTGCAACCTTCTACGGGCCGTACAAACCTTCCATGGAATTAGAGGTACCAAAAACACCAATTCTGGAATCACCTTTATGGACACTTCCTATGGCCCGTCTACTCTTCTGCGAATTGTCCTGTTGGTCCATAGGAACTTCTTCTAGGACTTGACATTTTCTAACTTTTCACAACTCATTCCATGACTGCCTTCTATGGACCATAGATAGACCCGTACAACTGGCACTAACAATTTTTTCTGCAACTTTCTTTCCAAACTCAACTTACCAATTTCTGAGTTACAAGGTGCGTCCCTATTGGATTAATTTGGATGCGTGCAAGTTTACCTAAAAACCAAAACTGCAAATAAAAAAAGTGGGGTACTAATAGACAATTTTGAATTAGTATTGGTTGCACAAGAATGGAGCAAAAGTCTCAAATTAGTTGGCTATGGAAGGGGACAAACACCATGCTTTTCATTAAAGGCAAGTGCTGAAGAAGTTATAGTTTCATAAAGAGGCTTCACATCAAATAGCAGTGACTTCTGCATGTGAATTAAAATCTGTGAAGAGATCTTGGTGTTGTAAGGTAAGTTTTATGACGAGGAAGAACAATGTCAAAAGGTTCAATTTCAAGAAAATCAAAGATTGCATTCTTCTAGCCTCTTTACTCAAACTATCAACATTCCATCAAAAGGTGTTCAAACCAAAAATAGCATTTGAGTAAAATTGAAAAAAGCTATTTAGAGAAGACGAGAGGAGGAACAACTCCACTTCTTCTTCTTGCATGAATTAGAAATCACGTTGTTGAAGGAAATTCACAAGATATTTAAAGACATTCAGAGTGTCAAGGAAAAAATATTTAACATCCATCTTGTCTATATGTTATAGAAAATATGAAGAAAGTGATCGTTATGATGAAAGAGGAGAAGTTGCATAGGTACAAGAGATACTCCAAGTGTTGGGGGGGGGGGGGGGGGTATGTATGTTAGTGGAGAGATAGGATTTGGAAAGAATTTTGAGGAAGATGAGGGTGGTAAAAGCCCATGAGTCGGATCGGTTCACTATAGCTTTTTCAACAATTATGGGAGGTGGTGAGTAGAGAGGTCATGGAATTAATAATTTATTTCCATTTAAAAAATAGCCTTCAATTTATTTTTTTTGATGAAGTAAGTTGTTTCATTAACAGTATCAAGAAGATGCAAAGAGTACAAAAGTAGATATGCTAGCTCCATTACGTGATAAAAGTTAAGATTCGGGAGCCAACCACAAAATATAAAAAACTAGAGGAGTCTTAAACATGACTATGGATGGTCTAGAGTTAAAGAGCCAACAAAATCTAAGAAAGCAATAGACTTACTCAGATATGACCGATGACAACTTAATAATTCTTAACTAAAAAACGCAAAGGTTACTTTTATAAGTTCACCCAATCAAACATACACCAAAGGAATATAATTTATGTCTCTCACATCCCATCTTCAATTCTAAGAGGTTAGGAAAAACTAATGGATAACTTTATGAGATGGAGCCAATGGAAACTAGAAGTATGGTTGGTATGATGAGATGGAGAGGGTGATGCTATCAAAGGGAGAATGAGGTTTTGGCATATGCATATTCTACATTCATAGACTTCTTGAAAACGTGATTATACATATTTGCAAAGAAAGAATGTTTACCATTTTAGAGGGTGTGTACAAAATATAAATTCTATAAGCACTATCGGTTCTAGGAAGATGTTGTAACCTCATATGATGTAATTGTGTGGAAGAAAGTCATGAGGGGGAAGTGTGATTTTTAAGATCCACATTTGTGAATCACAGTGGGAAATGCAATGCGAGATCCTTTATTAAATAATCATGGTGTCAGGCTAGCTTTCACGTACTTCTACTACTTCCACGGGTACTTGCTACCTCCAAGCAACACAAACTAGATAACTTTATACACCAAGGTTTGAACAGATGAGACGAAATCATCTAGTGTTATTATGTCCATTGAGAATTGAACTTGAGATCTCACGGTTTCACTCATTTTATTGACCATTAGGCCACACCTCTGAGTGTGATGTAAGATCCTTTTGTGATGAGATGCATTATAGGGTGGCCTAATGTTAAAGATTTCCATAAAACATTCACTTTAACTATGGATAAGGGCCCAAATTAGCTAAAAATGATTAGGAGAGAAGGAATGAGTTCCTTGAAAAATGTCTTTGAGAGTATGTTGCAGTTAAGGGAAGATGAGATATAATAATATAAACAGGAGATGACTAAATGTTTTTTGCTTGATCAATGGAGGGATATGAAACACACATGGAATCTAATATCAAAACTAAAGCACTAAGAAACTTCTTTCTAAGTGTGCATTGTGGAGTAGACGAGCGAATTTGTTATCCACCTAGTTTTGAACTGTGCGCCACTATTCTCGAGGATTTTTGGGTTGAAAAAATGGAAGCCAAGAAAAAGGTTTTATGAACGTTAACTCCTATTTGCTTGTTTGGACAATTTGGTGAGAAAAAAAGGGTACAAGTTTAAAAGGAATACATAAATCTATAAGAAGGTTAAAAGTGAATTTTCACTAAAGTTGTATTTTGGTGGAGCAGAATGTTGCCGCACTTTATGTGGGAGAAACAGGGAGTTAGCAAAAATATGCAGGATGCTTTGAATGTTCCCAAGTGGAAAGAGGCAATTCTAGAGGAGATGGATGCTCTTAAGAGAAATGAAACCTAGAAAATGGTGACACTACCACGTGGAAAGAAAACAATGGGCTGCAAGTGGTTGTTTACCATCAAATTTAAATCAGATGGGTCCTTGGAGAGGTATAAGGCACATTTAGTAGCAAAAGGGTTCACTCAGACCTATGAAATTGACTATCTTGAGACATTCGCTCCTCTTGCCAAGTTAAATTCAATCAGGGTTCTTTTGACCATTGCTGCCAATCTTGATTGGCCCCTACAACAACTAGATGTGAAGAATGCATTCTTGAACAGAAACCTCGAAGAAGTCTACATGGATCCTCCTCCGGGTTTTGAAGAAAGGTATGGAACTAGAGTGTGCAAGCTAAAGAAAGCCTCCTATGGGCTCAAACAATCCCCAAGAGCTTGGTTTGAGAGATTTACTCAGTTTGTAAAAAAACAAGGGTACACTCAAGGGCAAGCAGATCATACCATGTTCATTCGACACTCTCTTGAGGGAAAGACAACTATCCTCATGGTGAATGTTGATGATATTGATGATATCATACTTACAGGGGATAACTTGCCCGAAAAAAGAAATAGTTGGCCTCGGAATTTGAGATCAAAGATTTGGGTCAGTTGAAAGATTTTCTTGGCATGGAAGTAGCAAGATCAAAAGAAGGCATTATGGTGTCACAAAGGAAGTATATACTAGATCTTCTAAAAGAGACAGGCATGAGTGGTTGTCATCCAGCTGAAACACCTATTGATCCCGATTATAAAATCCAGAAACAAAGAAGGAAATTCAGTTGACCAAAGTCAATATAAGAGACTAGTGGGGAAGTTGATCTACTTATCACTCACTTGACCTGATATAGCTTTTGCTGTAAGCTTAGTGAGTCAATTTATTCACTCTCTGAAGGAAGAGCACCAAGAAGCGGTCTACAAGATTTTAAGATATCTGAAAAGTTCATCAGGGAAAGGATTGTTTTTCAGAAAAGTCCAAGATAGATGCATTGAAAGCTTTATAAATGCAGATTGGGTAGGTTCTACTATTGATACGAGGTCTACATCAGGATATTGTACTTTTATCTAGGGAAATCTCGTGACTTGGAGGAGTAAAAAGCAAAATGTTGTAGCCCGTAGTAGTGCTGAAGCTGAATATCGATCTATTGCCCATGGGATATGTGAAATGATTTGGCTCAAGAAGATAATGGAAGAACTAAAAAACAGTTGGTGTTACCAATGAGATAGTACTGTGACAACAAAGCTGCCATAAGTATTGCTCACAATCCAGTTCAACATGACAAAACAAAACATTTTGAAGTGGATAGGCACTTCATAAAAGAGAAGATTGAAGAAGGAAACGTGTGCATGCCTTTCGTCCCAACAAATCAATAAATTGAAGATATTTTCACAAAAGGTTTGTTTAAACCAAAGTTTGAAATTCTTGTAAGCAAGTTAGGCATGAACGATATATACATGCCAACTTGAGGGGAGTGTTGATTTGTAAATATCTAGGTGTGATTAGATATGTTTTAGTAGGATTCTAATTGATCTCATAGAATCAAATCTGATGTGCTATTGAATAGGTTAGGATATTAGAATCATCCCTTGATTCTCAAATCTCCTAGAATCAGGGGATCTGATTGCTAGCTAGTTTATTTTTCTATACTATAAATTTGTATCTCTATGGATGAATAAAATTGTACAATTTTGGTACCAAAACTTACAGCCTCATCCCCTCTCCTCCTTATTAGCAGTATTTAGTAAACCTGTGGTTTCTTATTCTTCAATATGTATTAGTGTCTGCTGCTTCATTTACTTTGTATCTTGCTATTTGCTGTCATATTTTCTTATCCATGCTTCAAATACTTCTCTTTTGAGCCGAGGGTCTATTGGAAACAACCTCCCTACCCAGAAAGGTAGGGATAAGGTCACTCATGGGATTACACTGAGTTTGTTGTTGTATTTGTTGGAGTGAGAGAATTCATTCTTCTATAATGGAAGTATTGGGAGCCTAATAATGTAAAGATGATACTGTCTTGATGAGATATTCAATGAATTTATTTTATCTTCTATAAAAGAAATTCTGTTTCAGTCGAGTTGCGTGTGAGTCTGGATCCTTTATTATGGTTGAGTGCCCAATTTTTTCTTTTACTGTGCCCCCTCCCAAATTCTTGTGTTCATAGTGTGGTATGAAGTGAAACATGCGTTGGTAACACAATGAGTTTGTTTCAATTTTATCCTGGTTTCAAAGATCCACTTGTAAATGCAGGCTTCAATTGTGGCGAGGCTGCCAACTTCGGTACTCCACAGTGGCTTGCAGTAGCCAAAGAAGCTGCTGTTCGTCGAGCTGCCATGAACTATCTGCCTATGCTCTCTCATCAGCAGTTGCTTTATTTGTTGACAATGTCTTTTGTTTCAAGGTCTGCTCATCAGCTCTTGTTGCATATATGGATCAGCCCAACATGTCCCCTCTAGGAGATGAGAATTAGGTGTTTCTTTTGCATTCCCGGATTGAAACTTTGTAGGCTTTATCTTAATTTATCTTTTATTGATCCGTATTTGTAAGAACTACTTTTTGTCCAGCTGTACAAATCTGTTTTTTCCATCTTCACAATACATTATTTAGGTCAGAAGTGAAATTGTAGACATCTTTTTAAAGTTAAGTGAGTAATGAGGTTAAGGTATACTTTTTTGTTACTTTAAAAGGTGAAAGTTTCTGTAGTCTGCTACTGTTCCTGCAATAATGGAAATATTGGGCTGTGGAATGAGTGACTTTTGAAAAACTGAGTGAGGATAGTTAATGTGTGATATGGGGATATTTAAGCTTTGTTGTACTCCATTTTGTTGCTTTCCCGTCATTCAAGAACCAAAGCCTAGGGAGCGGACAGGCTTATGGTTACATTTCCTTTTACTTTAATAAACTTAGAAATATCTTTTGGTTTCTTTACTTCTATGTTTGTGATGACAGTGTGCCAAGATCCCTGCTGCCTGGGGTTCGAAGCTCTCGTCTGAGAGATCGTCAGAAGGACGAAAGGGAGTTTCTGGTAAAGAAAGCCTTCGTTGAGGATATAGAAAAGGAGAGCGACCTGGTAACAGTTTTACTTCAGAAAAGCTTTTCTGACTATGCAATGTTGTGGGATGTGGATATGCTTCCATCTTCAGGTAAAGAATCTGAACTGCACAAGAATGTTTCTGCGGATGCTTCTAAAGGGAACGATCAGTCTGACAACAACGATAGTCAGGATGTATTAGACCAAATGAGCTTATACATGGAAAATTACAGTGACTTCTATGTGGATGATGATGTGTCATGTGAATTTGAAATCGATTCTGGGACATTACCCTGTATAGCTTGTGGGATTCTTGGTTTTCCATTTATGGCTCTGGTACAACCATCGGAAAAGTCTGCAAAACACCTTTTTCCTGAGGAATTTCAGAATAAACAAGAATCCGGAGTGCTGAAACATGTGGAGTCGGATAACCATAGGTGCATGTTTGAGGACTACAATAGAGGTAGGAGGCCCTTTATAACTTTTCTCCCTTGTTGAGTTTGTCTGTTCTGTTATCTTGATGACTAAATCAATGTCTCTTGTTGATGATATCTTCCTCTGTAATAATTGCTTGTTTGGATTGACTTTGGGCATATGACTGACTTATAAACCAAAAGTCATAAGTTAGAAATTCTAACTTATGGCTTTTGGCTAATTTTTATTAGTTTGGCTTAAAGCCAAGTGCTTACACACTTTTCTATCTTGTCCAAACACTAAAAAAGTTCTTAAAAGCTATTTTGGCTAAAAGCACTTGAACTAAGTCAATCCAAACAAGCTCTAAATGTGCTAATTTTACTGCTTGTAAAAGGTAGCGCAAATTGATTTATGAAACTTCTTGTGTCTGATCAACATGTGACTCTGTGAGAAATAATCCTAACTCTTTGAACACAGCAGTACTAGTTCTTCTTCCTCTTTTTTGCTACAAAGGAGTATCTATGCATACTCTTTCTGTCATTATTCTCCTTTTTGACACCTTTTTTCTCCAATGAAATTTGCTTGTGTTTCAGCTGAATACTAATCCTCCACGAGGTAGTGGTAAGGTCTGCGTACACTTTACCCTCCCCAGACCCCACTTTGTGGGATTTCACTGGGTATGTTGTTGTTGTTGTTGTTGTTCAGCTGAATACTAATAAAAGAAAAGAGAATAAGTTTCACTGATAGAAAAAGAAGAGAATTGCTTCAGTTTGTTGCTTCTGTTAGTGGCTGCTCGCTTACTACCAGTTCATTTCTAAGCTGAACAAATTATATTAATTATGCTGCATTCACATGTTTGAAGATCTAATCCTTTAAATGATCTAATTCTGAATATGTAGTAATGAGTCCCATTTGTGTATGTTTCTGAACTACAGCTGTTGATTTATAATTTTCATTTCCGCCTGAAATAATAAGATACACATGGTTAGAATGTCTAGTCATATATGGCTCGTCTCATTGTACATTATAAGGAAAACCACCTAGAATATTTTGGAGAATATTCTCTACTTAATTATAAATTGATATCACCTTATTAGTATGTAAACTATTTCCCTACCATATTATAGATAGCCTAAAGCTCCCTATTAAAGAGCACTGCCCCCATAAACAAACGAAGGTTCAGTGCCACTCCTCTCTTTAAGATCATTCAAGCACCATCCATCTCTCCAGCAACTAGCACTGCTACTTTTTTTTTGATGAAGTGAGTGGCATTAATAGAGGCATCAAGAGGATGCAGAATTGGTATAATTACAAAATGTGGCATTGTAGCTTACAAAATGTCACTGGCTGACTGTACAAACTATCTAAGCCAGAACTTGTTAACGCAGAGCAAGTCCTGAACTCTGCGTTAACAGCAGGGTACAGACTGGACCAACTAAACAAATTGACTAAGCACCTTGCCTTCAAATTACCTAAAGAGGTTGATGCCCCATCAAATGATCTTTGTGGTATCCCCATTTAAGCTTGTCAGCTGTCTGGGGATTTATGTGGCAATGCTGGAGTCTTGCAAGACGATCAATCAAATCATTCACTTCCCAATCATGCATGTCTCTTCTGAATGTCAGATACCAGTTGGTCCCTTCTCTATTTGCAACAATACCAAAGTTGGGATCTTGAGCAATTTTGAACAATTCTGGGTAATCATCCTGAAGAGTTGTATTGCCAAGCTATTCGTCTGTCCAAAACCCTAGCAGTGCACCATTAGACTTCGAAGTGAGCATGCTGATCAAAGTGTCCCTCAGCTGTCTAATACCCATGCTGATCAAAGTGTCCCTCAGCTGTCTAATACCCTTCCAGAGTCCCACACCATGAGGAAGAGTAGAGGTCTCTGTGCACCATTGATTCAGTCTTCCAGCTTATCTATGATGACATATTTCCAGAGCTCTGCTTCTTCCTAGTTGAATCTCCAAGGCCTCTTCACCCTCATTCTTTTGTTATGGAAAGCAAGGTTCTTGATACCAAGACCATGATATTTTTGTTGGATGACCTCCCATTTGAGAAGGTGAAATTTGTGATTCTGGTTGTTGCCTTCCCACAGAAAGACTCTTCTTATCTTGTCAATCTGCTGAAGGACCTCTGTTGGCATTGGAAATAGGGCCATGTAACAAGTGGGCAAGCTGTCTAGGACACTATTGATAAGTGTTGGCCTGCCAGCAAGGGAGAGGTATTGCATTTGCCATGTTGCCAACCTCTTTTCAAAGTTTTCAACTACCCCATTCCAGATTTCAGTGAATTTGAACTCAACACCCAGAGGTAGACCCAAATAAGTGGAAGGAAAAGAGCCAATATTGCAACCCATTATATCATCCAACTCCTCATATTTGATCCTTCATTAACAGGGTATATAGTGCTCTTTAGCATATTCACATGCAAACGTGAAATATCTTTGAAAATAAATAAGTTAGATTGAGATGTATCACTTGTGATCTTTCGACACCACTGAAGATCAGAGTGTCATCTGCAGAGAGCAAATGAGATACAATAGCTTGCGATCTCAGGTCCCTTCCGATCTTGAAAGGCTCAATCCATTGCAAGGAGCTAGCTTTCTGGAGCATTTGCCGAGACCTTCCATTGCCATGATGAATAGGAGAGGTAAGATAGGATTGCCCTGTCTAATGCCTCTTTGAGGGGAGAAGAAGCCCACAGTACCCCTGTTAACCAGAACGGAGTATTTGACTGTAGAGATGCTAAATTTGATCCCTCTTATCCATTTGTCACCAAAGCACATTTGCCTCTGTATGGTGAGTAAGTATGACCAACTTACTTTGTCAAATGCCTTTTCAATGTCTAGCTTTAATAACAACTCTCATTCTCCACTCTTCAGTCTCCAATCTAGTGCCTCATTAGCAATGCTGTTTTGATCCTATTAGCCAATAGCTATGAAGCAATCTTGTAGGTACTGCTAATAAGACTAATTGGTCTGAAATCTTTAAGTTCAGTCGCCCCTTTTTTTTAGGGATCTGGGATATGAAGGTGGCATTGACAGATTTTACCATGTGACAGTGATGATGATAGTGTATCCAAGCATTGGTGATTTCATATTTGGTAATCTCCCAGGACTGTTGGAAGAATGCCATAGTGAAACCATCCATCCCCAGAGCCTTATCTGGTGCACAACTTTTAATGGCCGAGAATATCTCATACTCTTCTCGGCCATGTATCGAATGAAATTGAAAAATACCTAACACATCTTTAACTCAGATGCAGTGGTATTAGTTCTTCGGAGCTCAATCTGCACGAGTTAAGGAGGGATTACCGGATTAGTGTATTTCTTCCAATTAAAGTAGATTCAGGAAGCAATAGAGGAATTGGTCCTTACCTTGAAGAATGCAGCTGGCAACAGTGTTGAACTGAAGAAGTCTTCACCGAGTTGGATTCATGGTGTTCGTGAGAATTTTGAACACCCAAATGGATACCACTCAAGTTTAATGCAGATCTGCCATGCTTGCGTCGAAGAGAAAAGGATTTTTGGAGCTCCAACAGACGTCCTTCAATGTACTGGAAAATGCTTCTTGTTCTGACATGATTTCACGCTGTGTTTCCTTTTTTCTTTTTTCTCTGGTTTAGCTGAGAGGCTGTGTTTGGGCTTGAGTCACTTTTGGACTCCAGCCATTTATAAGTAAACCCCTTTTTTATTGATTCTCAATAAATGGGCATTGTCCATGTTTAATTTTTTTTAAGAAAAAGATCTCATACTCTTCAGACTCTCTTTCCAGCTAAGTTTTTTCTGTTCAAGAGATTCTTGCTAAATTCTCAAATCTAGCAGAGGGTCTCCAAGGCCCATTCTCCATGTACAATTGCTGATAGAAATTCAAAATCTTCTCTTTGATGTCTGCTTTATCATCAATAATGAGCTCCCATATTTGTAGTTTATCAGTATAGTTGTATCTTCTGTGAGCATTTGCCAAGCTCTGAAAATACTGTGTTCCTATCCCCATCCTGGGCCATAAATACCTTGACTTTTGTCTCCATGAAATGTCCTCAATCTTTGCTACCTGTTGTAACTGTGTCTGGAGGTTGAATATTTGAGCCTTTTCAGCCTCATTATGGATTCTTCCATCAGATGTTTGCTCCACTAGAGATAATTCATTTAAAGCCTATTCTTAGATCTTCAGCTTCTATACTACTATGATTATGAAATCAGGACTGCCCATGACTTCATAGCTATTCCACCCGTCTTTGACAAAATCAAGAAACCTTTCTGTCTGTAACCACGTGTTTTCAAACTTGAAGTAGGATGAGCTAGAGTGCCGTTCCTCACACTCAAGCATCAAAGGCTTGTGATCAGATATCACTCTAGGGAGAGCCACCTGTTTTATTGCCTTAAGCTGTCATTCCACTCTTGTGAGATCACCCGTAAAAGCTCAACTCCTCTACACCAAGTATAAAGTGCACTTTGAAGAGGTAAATCCAAGAGTCCCAAACCTAGTATAGTATATGAGAAACTTTTCATACCTCTAGTCCTATGACCTGAATTTTCTAAAAAAGAAATGATAGTTTCTAACTTATTTTTTCATGTTTGGTTGGTGAGTGAAATATTTTTCGAAAAATATTTTCTAGTGTATGATTGGTGAATGAAAAACCCTTTTAAGGAATTATCTTTTATTTTTGGCTAGAGAGTAGAAAATGCTTTCTAGAAAAATAGTTTTTGACCTAAAAATCAATCTCGATAATTGATCCGACACCTAACCCCGACACCCAATTTGAAACCTGACCCCTACTCCTGACACGGGGCTCGACTTTTGAACTGCAACCCGACCCTAACCCCGACTCAAATTGGGACACGATCCCAAGATCAAACCCATGACCTAACCTTGCTTGAGACCCGACATTCAAACTAGAGTATGATCCCGACACTTTTACCTAAAATCAACCCGAGACCCGACCTCGACCTGACCCGATCTAACCTCGACCTCGACCCGAGACCCCAACATCCAACTCAAGATCAAACTTTTGAAACAAAATTTGACCTCGACACCTGATTCGCGA